CCTCCCTCCAAGGTCATTCTTCCCATCCTATTTTTCTTTCTTCCACATTATTTATTAGACTATAACATACTGTATTTTTTGGTCAATGATGTTAACGTTATGTCTCCTTTGGTAGGAAGTAAGCTCTCTGAGAGCAAGAAGTTTGTTTTCTCCACTGTGTATCCTCAGCCTGGGTACACCAAGTACTCAGTATTGTTGAATGAATGAATTATAATTGTGAAAATATACAGATGGACAGGACAAACATACACAAGGAAGCTCACTTTTATACAAGTTGGTGATAACTATTGTTTAAAATAGTTACTATTTTATTCTCGATATTCCCACATCATCAACTCAATATTCCTACACCATTTAATTCAGACTAGTTAAAACACTAGAACTGTGGGCTGCTACAAAATAGTGTGATATTTTAACTTTAGAATTCCCACAGTTTTTTTTCAAAATGTAATAAAATATATTATCATTCTTATGATATACTTTTTGAGTACATGATTATAATCATGAAATAGAACATAAGATAAATCATAGGGTATGTTTATTAAACATTTCTGGGTCATTGAATTTCAACTCATTACCAGCAGAGGGTGCTACTGATTCACATTTTCACACCTGTCTTTTTGCTGAACTAAGGAGACAGGTTTCAATACTGTAAATGACATTATCTTACAAATCTACATTACAGTAAAGTAATAATATATCAGCCAACAAAACATAATGACTTGAGCTTCAAAGATCTATTATTTTTTCTCTTTTCTTTATTTAAATTCAGAATTTTGGACATGTATATGTAAAAAAAAAATGCAAAAGATAAATCTCTCTTCTACCTCTGTTCCTCAGACCCCTAGCTTCTCTCCAAGGTCATTGTCTCCAGTTTCTTCTATGCATGTGCACATGTGTTTTGCTTTGTGTTTGTTGTATATTTTAAACTCAAGAATGGAAAAAACCCTGTTCTTCAACTTTGGCCTGATTTATAATTTGACCACATAATTTTGAGATTCCATATCATTACCCATGAACCTCTTTCCTTTAAACATCTGTATTTTATTCCAATGTGTGAATTAACTGTAATTTGCATTCGTCTATTGAAGGATGCAAAGGTTGTTTTCAATATGCTGCTATTTCAAATAATACTATAATACATATATTTTTACATTTATCTTTGTAAATACGTGCAAGTACATCTTGAGGGTAACTTTTGAGGAAAGAAATAGATAGTTGTCTGAAAAATAATGAAGGTGGAATCATATTTCCCTCTACACCAGAATAAATTCTGAATGTATTGAGTCATAAAATTACTAGAAAAGAACATGTGGGGATGTTTTTATGATTTTGGAGTAAGAAAGGCCTACAGAAAGCTAACATAAACTCAGAAATCACACAGAGGTCATTGCAATTAGACTGTTTTTTTTTTAAATCTGTGGAGCAATAAAAACCATAAACAGAAAGTATAAATGGCAATTGTACAAGTGTATTCCTACCACATATTACAAAGAACTAAATTTCTTTCTATCTAAAGAGCTTTTGTAAAATGATAAATTAAGCTCTTACTGAAAAATGAACAAAGAAAACACAGTATAGACATGAAAACAAAAATGACTTTAAGCATATGAAACCATATTCATAAGGAGAAAAAAACAGATTAAGGTGATGAGATATCGTATTTACCTATCAGATTGGCTGAGATCAACACATTGTGTGGGAACAAAGCAGGTTCACGGAGTTGGGGAGACGATCTGTTGCCACAACCTCTATGGAAACCACTTTGGCAATAGCTATAAATATTTTCCAAAGAAAGTTTGTGAAGTTTTTTATTTCTTTTTCCTTTTAGTTAAATCTTTCTTTGAATTAGCTGCATGTGCTTAACCAGAAGGAGAGGATAAACCAAGTTTACAAATAAAGACGAAATATTTTCAGGGAAGCATGCCCTTTGTGTGATGTGGGTTATAACCCACTTGAGCGATGGAAACTAACACGACCACTAAAAGAAGCTTAGTGCATGGCCACCAGGGTCCCTCAGGAAACAGGTGGCACATTTTTTTAAGGGGAAGGCTGAAAAGAATTTCATTCATGGAGATGCGGGTGGGGTTAAAGGAAACAGTAAGGAGTGGGGAGCACCCCGGGTGGGGGCGTCCTGGCTTTAGGAAGCCAAGACCATCCCCAGCAAAGGCCAAGAGAGGGGACAATCAAGGACTGTCACTTAGGAGAGGGCCGCCTGGCAGGAGCCGAAAGAGTAAATATCCCAGGCCTTTTCTACTCCTGCCCGTCTAGTCTCTGGGGGCGCCCCCTACTGGCCAAGTTCAGTGGGAATCAAAGGAGAGGATTCAGCCCCTGCTGTCAGCAGAGGTCGGTGTCCTGGGACTCCGAGCAAGGACAGGTGAGTCCTGGTTTACCTCTGGAGGGTAGAGCTGGCAGAGCCACAATGACGTTCATTCAGCTATAGTGTGTACCCTCAGGGCCGCGCTGCATTTCCACTTCCCTCCAAACAAACAGTGCCCATTTTTCCTTCCGAAGTATTCACTTCCGCGCTGCTCCTTTTCTGAATGGCGCCCACGGATCACTAAAACCCCCAATCCTTTTCTTCATGAGGCAGAATCTTTATGAAAAGCATCTTCCTGAACACCCTGCATTTGTCTATTAAGGTGTAATTCAAGCAATTTAAAGACACCGACACCTCGAATATAAGGGCACTATAGAGTACATTATAGGAGATAGTGCATTTTACATAGAAGAGGTTTTGAAAAAAAAAGGCATGTTTTGTTTGATCATGCCTCTACTATGGGAGAATTCCACTGTCTTGTTTTCTTTCTTTCCTTCCTTCTTTCTTCTAATAATTGACCCATTTGGATAGACAAAATGAGTCCATGGATCAAACAGATTAATCCCAGAGATCAAGCTACTGGCTAATGTCTAACAACATTAAAGACTGCATTACAGAGAAGGGGATATGTGTTATTAAACCCCCACCCCTTTTTTATTTTTGTCTGTTCAAAGAAATGACAAGACTTTATTTCTTTGAAATGTTATTTTGAAGCCAGGGGATGGCACCCTTTATAGAGTTTCTCTAAATATAGCAAAAAACGCAGCAGCTCTCAGGCCTGGCAATACCAGGGGCCCCATCTTGTGAATGTATCTGAGAAGGAAATGACTTGGCAAGCAAATATGTTGCTATCCACTCTACCTCTAGTACATCCAAAACCCCGAAGCCCCGTCTTGGCTTTTTGGGCCGAGTGTGCACGAAGCCCCTCGGCTGCCTCTCCCATGTTAGCGGAGCGCGTGTTCGGAGCCAGCGAAGCTGTTCTGGGAGGCTGCACGTTTCTGGCTGCCTTTGGTGTGGGAATAGGGGTTCCTAGCTCATGCCCCCTGCAGGCAGAGCTGCGTGAGGGTCTTATATTAGCACCAGCATGAGGGAAACAGTCAAGAAGTAAGAATTAACACGTCCATTCAGGGCAGGCTGTTCCTTTCACTGCTCTGAGAAACATCAGGTACGGTACGCTCATGTGGGACAGGAAGTAAAAGTATGACTTACCAGACAGGCGATATGGTCTAGAGGATTCGGAATTTTAATATTATTTCTGGCTCCACCACTGGCTTCCTTTATGACTTGGAGGAAAGTCTCTCTGGGTGCTGCTAGTTTTGGTCTCTGTGGATTGATAAGAAGATCATAAGCAGGGGTGTTATAATAGTTCATTTCATGGGCAATTAAACAGGGCCTAATTGGTCATTTCTTTCTGGGAACTATTTTGTGCTTTAAGAGAACATTCAATATGTGAATAAATTAAAGGGGTTTCAGAAAGTGCAATATACATGTGTCATCTCCTTGAATCCCTGCAGCAAAGCCAGGAGGTCATTCATGACATTGACACAGGTTTTCAGATGAAGACACTGAGACCCAGAGAGGGTTCACATTTGTTTCACAAGCTAGTAAGTAGCAGAGCTGGGATTCGAACTCAGGTTCTTGGAATCCAGAGCCCTACCTCTTAACTATCCCACTCCTCTCCCTGTTACCTAGTGACAGAAATGAAGACTTAGAGGAACACACATAAATCTAGATATTCCAAAAAATAGATTTTCAGAGCACCCCAGACAGAGTGGGGAAGAGAGAAAATGGGGGAGAAGTAGGAAATCACGAATGCTACAGTCGCAGAAGCACGTAATTAGGGACAGTCGTGGTCTAGCCAGAGAAGCCTCTGCTAGTTTGAGAGCAAAATGTTCCAGTTAGGATGCTTTGGGATACAGGTTTAGAACCCCGATTCCGGTTTGCTTTTCTGTGTGTTTGTTTGGTGGTAGTTTTTATTGCGTTGTTTTTAAGATGTCATTCCAGCTGAATAGTGTCGACTTGAATGGGAAATGGCCTTGCAGAAGACTTCATTCACTTCTGCAGGTGTTTGTGTTCCACTTGCCAAACTTAAATTCTGTTCACACCTGCCCACTTCTCCCATTTCCATCAGACTGTTTCACCCGGGGCTGCCCGACTGACAAGCTCAGTCTCACCACTGGTTTTGACTTGGTCTCTCCCCACCTCACAGGTTTGTCCAAGCCCCTCTTTCCAAAATACTTTATTAATTAAAGCCTTGCTTATGTCCCACCTACACCACAAACGCTTCTCAAGCCGCACTGACCTCACCCTATCCCGGCCTCCCATGGCGCTTGGTGTCCCAGTCCTCACTTCTCTGCTCAACTACTGCACTTTGCATAATTGATATGCTGTCTCCCAACCAGATATGGTCCCATAGAAGGCGTAGTGATGAATAACATCAATGCTTTAGAAACCATATAGCACTTGGCCTGATAGAAACATAGGAAATTTAACTTAAAAAGTGGCTTTTCCTTCCCCTTGATTAGAGAGAGTGTTTTCTGGGTGGTCTGTATTATGTTGTTATCATGGTGGTGAGAGCACAGAAGTGGCCTGGATACACCTGAATCTTGTGCCCTCATTGCCCCCACGTGTCATTCCTTCCCCTCCTCCGGTGATCTCGGCCAGCGCCAGAAAAGGCAGGTGCGGCTGATCAGCAGCTTCCCTTTATTTCAGCATTTGTCCTCAGCGTCTGTAGCCGCCTGGAGAGGTGAGTGTCGCCCATCTCCTGGGCCGGAAGGGTCTTCACTCCAACTGGCAGTGTCTGGAAAAATGGGTCTTGAGGTGCGGATAGAGTGAAGTGGACAGAAGGTGGTAAGTTGTCCCCAAGTAAATAAAGTTTGGCCGATGCTGGCCCTTATTCATCTAAGGTCAAGAAAGGTTCTGCCCTAAATAGGGCAAAACAATCCTCAATGTAGCCATTGCCATCTTGGCCCTCAACCTCAAATTCAAAATGCTTGTGGCAAATGAGACAAACCTCCGATCATGGTTTACATGGAGGTTTAACAGAGTTCATTGAAAACTTGGAAGAAATCTGGGGGTAAAAACCGCACAACACTACAGACTGGGAGAAAAGATGAGTAGCTGAAAGCTGTGAAGCCGGGTTCCTCAGAACCACTGCTTTCATCACAGGCAAATCCCAGAACTGTTTCCAAAGGGACTTTTACGTAGGTAAGGTCAAGAATTGGCCTTTCCAGGCTTGGTCACGCGAAATGTGTTAGCACAAAGTGTTCATGTGGCTTTGTGGATGGTAAAAACGTGGGAGCGCCTGAGTTCTTGGAGTCAGATATCTCTCCCAGGTCTTCTCCTGGTCTCCGAGAAGAAAATCAGCCTTCATATAAGAACTGAAATAGAAGAGCACAGTTTTCAGAAGCATATGTGCGGCTGCTATTTCAGGAATTGTTCCAACGTGAGATGTTTATAATGAGTGTGGTGTGACCCAGCCAAGGAGTTTCATATAACAAGGTTAAGTGAATAGTGGGAGGAAGGGCTCTGCATTCCACACCAGCTTGCATTTATTAGCAATTGAAAGGTTTGCAGATGAGACTGGCTGAGCATTTGCTAAATCTAGGACTTCTGGTTTACAAATCATTTAAACATCTTTTACCGTCCTAGAGAGGGCAGGAAAAGGCGTTATTATTTTAATCACATTAAATATTAGTCACAAAGAGACTAAAAACAATGTAATTTGGCAAATACAAAATCTACCGGTTAAGTAGAGAACCATGCTCTGCCCTCCCACTAGGCTCGCTAAAGATGTTTACTAGGAACATCTTAGTGAGCAGATGTTTCTTATGTTTCCATGAAGAGTTTTACTGGCATCTAATTGTTAGTGAAGGGCTCTTTTGGAAGAAGGAATCCCTTGTTTATGTGCATGTACACACATATATTTAAATATGTTGCATACACTAAGGGTTTTGCTGTAATTAATCCAAGTGAGACACTTAGGTGAAAGATTCACCTGGATTTCATAATTAAGTATTGAATGTTTGTCAAAATAAGCCTACTGGTCTAAAGTTTTGAAGTTACTGTTCAAGAAATAACTCAGTAAACACAGGAAAAAATTTAAATGGTTGGTCATGAAAAGATGATGACATTGTCAAAATTATCTTTTTTCGGGTCAGTTTGCTTCAGAAGCCTTTCTAAAGAGCCTTTGAATTACTTGACCTGCTTTTTTCAAGAATGCCACTTTTGTGTATCTGTATAAATCTTATGTCTTTCTTTGCAAAAAAGTTCAACTGTTTCTTAGTGATAGAAGAATATGGATACTGAAAAGTATCAAGTATGCCCTTATGTTGTTTGTTGGTAAATGCCTAAAAAATATGAAATATTCCCTATATTGCACATGCATGGTGAACTTGTTTAACCCACTGAAGACTGCTTGAGGAAGTCAGGACAAAGAAGATTTCTGTAAGTGTCAAAGAGTTCGTATGCTTGGAAATTAACGTTGAACTCTGCGGTTATGTCACTGGTGAAAATTAGGTGTCTGATGACTAACCCAATGTTAGTTAAGAAACAAATCATACTTGTTTTATACATGTCGCCATGCATCAGAGGCTTTTAATGATAGCTTTGTGATTTCGGATCAGGGAGATGATTCAGAAGTTATTGACTAAAGGGCTTTTACTATAGCCAACAAGGCAATTCAAGCAAGTGTAATAAGGGGACAGATTCTAGAAACAAAACCATGAGTCATAGGTCCGTTAGAGAAACAAATAAGATTAAATGGTTTGGGTAATCTCTAAGATTATTTTACATCACACGTAAATAATGTGAGACCAAATGGAAATTCCCCAATCTGTGGTTCCATTTTAAAATTTTCTGCTTTATAACTATGGATTTAGGAAACAATATGTATAGCATTACACATACTAGACGCCCCCCAATTTTTCCCTGTCTTCACTCCCAAGCTAGGATAACTCCCCATTATATGCTTTCATAGCCCTTGGCACTTTTCTTTCCTAGTGTGTAATTAGTTATCTGTAGGCTTTAGGGTTGCTAGATTTTGCCAACAGTAGTACAGGCTGCTCAGTGAAATCTGAATTTCAGATTAACAACAGATAATTTTTTAATACGTTTTCCTGTGCAATTGTGACATATTTATACTAAAAAATTAGCCATTGTTTATCTGAAATTCAAATTGTATCGGGCACCCTAGATTTAATCTGGCAATCCTAGCAGCTGTTTATTCATATCTGTATCCCCCACAGACTGCAAGTTTCAGGTAGAGCAGATACCATTTTGCTCAGCATTGTACTTCCCCTATCTGCACAGGCATTTGCATTTTTTTGGTGCTTAATACATATTGGTCGAATGCATAAAGGGATGATTTATAAGGAGTGCACCTAAGGTTCAGAGAAGATGAAGTAGTTCTTGCCATTGGGATTTCTATATGTGCACCATGTTTACCTAGTACATATTCAACCAACTAAAACAGATAAATAAGGAGGAAATTCCTTTTAAAAGAGAGACTCCAAGCAACTGACTCTATTAACTGCTATTATTTAATAATAATACTATTACCACTAACTTTCCATTTTCAATTTTCAGTAACTACTTTTCCTGAAAGACAGCTATTGCAAAAGCATGTCAGACTTGTATCTAAGTGTTATGGCAGATTGCAGCTAGTTTTTTCTACTAGGATCTAAAACTCAAAGAGGTTTAGATAAACAGGAGATGATTCCAGGCCATATATAGAGACAGTGGCACAAATTTTTAATTCATTATCATCACATGTACTTACTGAACTTCCACAGATGTTCTGCGCTGTATTAGAGAAAGCGAACTAGTTAATCTTGTGAAGTTTTGTTAGCTTGTGAAGAGCTAGTGTCTTAAGTGTACTCTTTGTAAGGGTTAGTTTATAAACCATGTAGTGGGGCTCACTTAGATGAGTCATGGAAGTTTAGAAAACAGAAGGTGAAAGAAGAATGCCTTGAAAAAGCAAATAGAAACGGGTGTCATATGCTAGAATTAATGTGGATCAGGTACAAGTGCCACAAAGGAAAGCCTTCCACTGTGGCCTCGTCAGCATCCCACATTCGTGTTCAACGAGGGGGGAGACAGCAGCTGGGAGTCTGAGGCTGCAGTTCTAGGGCTTCTGTGGCCCTGGGCCCGGCCCCTGCTTCAGTGCTCTGGCTCAAGAAGGGAAAACCACTCACCTCATATTCAGAACGCTGATAGATGCATAACCAGTCTTTCATCAGGCCCTTTGCTTGAGTGGGGAGATCAGATGGCTTCTGCTATGTGACCATCACAGTCCCCTGTAGATTTGGAATGGGTTATGTTCACAGGAATCCTAGTGGGAATTACGGAATCCTCTTCCGTAATTCCCACTAGTTCACTTCCAACTTCTGGGCTGAACAATGAGCAGCTCCCACTTGGCTGGGGGAAATTCTCCCAAAAAGGTGGTAGCTGTGTGTGATTATGAGTCAGCAGTACCAGCAGCTAAGCCTGATAATTGTATGTATTCTATATAACAGTGGACAGTCAATGATGCCAGCAATAATGATTAAGTATCTAGAAGAGAATCACACTATGGCTTTTGAACACAAAAATTTAAATTGTTTTGGAGACAATATGTATACACATTTGAAACAGTCCAAGAATAGAAGATAACATTTTATTAAATGATTAAAAATACACAGTACAATTATAAGGCCTAGGAGAGACCAGGAGAAGTTGAGTCCTGTGAGTATACACTGATGCCAGAATTTAAATAGGGGAATGCATGTAAGGTTTGGCTTTGAAAAGCAACCCTTGAATACATGGAAAGGATATTGTCAAGTGCCGACGTAAAGGTGCAAAGATGGTCATTACCTTAAATGGGAAAGTGATAGAAACTTCATTGGCTAGAGCTAAGGGCCATCATGTTGAAGTAAAATGAAGGCAGATTGAGAGGATTTTGAGCATCTTCTTTTTCCCAGTCTAATACCTCTTCCAGTTATAGCTCTTTTAAAATTTCTGTACCTTTTGTTGATTTCCTACTAAGAGATTTTTTTCAAAACGATCTGAGTGGAAATTTTGTTAAGGTCCTAAAAATATTAACTTTCAAATTCTTTGTGACTTATTCAACTATTTTTAACCATTCAAGTGATTTTAACTCTTTGTCTAGATAAAAATTGAATTGCCAGTTTAGGCAAAATTTTGGGATTACTTACAAATTCCCTCACTATCTAATAAGTGAGATCATGTTTTTTTAAGGCCACATACCCTGCTATTAAACAAAGTTAATGCTGGAGTCAGTACCTCTTTGGCTCCAATCTTAGAGATGCGACCATTAGCATGTTACTTGACCTCTTTGAGCCTGTTTACTTCCTTGTAAAAGGTGTTTATTTCCACACATCTGAGTGGGTTTCTGTGAAGTTTAGACCTAATACATATAAAATGCCTAATAAAGGGCATATTTAGTAGGTTCTCAATACATGAGAGTGAAACAACCACTCAGTGGGAGTTGTCTGCTTTCTCACCATCATTGCGTTTGACATACCGTTATAAACGTAAAGCAGTACTTTAAGAGCGTAGCTTCTGGCGCAGGACTACCTGGCTTTAAGTCTGGGCTCTGGCACTCATCTGGACTGACTTCAGGTGTGTCTCTTACTCTATCTTTGTCTGAAATGGAAATAATAACCCTTACCTCATAGAGTTGTTCTGAGGTTGAGACAAGTTAATACATAAAAGGAGTTTAGTACCATGCCTGGCACATGGTCAATACTTATACGTGTTAGCTCTTATTTTCTGGAAATTTGAGTGCTAAAATTAAACATGGAAAGTTGAAAGCAGTTGTCTAAAGATAATCTTGACGCCTCCAAAGCAGAAGAATAAGTAGCCTATTGCTAAACTATCGTTAGGACAATGCTAACTTTAAAATGTGTTCTTTTGCCTGTACGTTAGCCATTTTGTCTGTATAGCTGGAAGAAGGAAAACAATGGCCTCTGCAAGGAAGGTAGCCGAGAAGCGGCATAACCCAGTGGAAAGCATTTGCAGGAAAATCATAGCCATCCAAAAGAGAGAAGAGACTTCCAGTCCGGGTCGACAGATTACCAAATATCAATCTAGCAGTTTCAATAGTCCACAGACTAACACCAAGAAAGACTTTGAGGAGGTATTGAAGAAGATGACCGCTTCTCACAGCCCTATGCCCAACACTCCCTTTCCCAGTTCTGAGGAAGATGACGCCTTCATCTCATCTCCTCTAACAGTGTCTCCAACAAGCCCACCCATCTCTCATCTCAGCTCTCCTGAAAATGCAGCAGGTGCTGTTATCCTCCCAAGTTCTGAAAACATCTCAAGGCCACGATCACAGAGCTCCGAGACTTACACATCACTGGTATCACAGATCAGAAAAGGAGAACGCTTCTCTAACAAGGATTTGAACAACCATTGCAGTGAAAATAATCTTCATGCCTTAGCACTTGACTCTGATTCTACCTCTGATCAAAGTTCTGAATTTGTTACTCAGGATTCAGTGGCGAAAAAGTTATCTCTGAGTGAAGATGGTAAATATTCATTTTAATGTTTGTTCTTCAATAAAGCAATAAGTTCAGAATACTTGACCTAAAAACTAATCCACATTCTTAAAGCTTGGATGGGAGCATCCATCTTGCCCTTTTTAAAGTACGTTTTTTTCTTTTTTTCTCCTCTTAAAGAAAAATCTAAGTATCTAAGTATTTTCTGTGCTTTCAGTTAAAAATCTGGTAGAAATTCTGGATTGCATTTACAGTCATATTCATTGGTATTTCTCTATTGACCCAAAAAAAACCTTTCTTCAAGGCAAGTTAGCAGGTCATGCTGGGAATACATATAGGGGAGTTAAAATTCACATACAGACATACTTTGAAGATATTGCTGGTTTGATTCCAGGCCGCTGCAATAAAGTGAATTGTAGTATAAACCAAAGTGAATCACAGTACAGCGAGTCAAATGAAGTTTGACTTGCTTCCATGTTGATGGCTGCTGACTGATCAGGGTGGTGGGGTTGAAAGTTGGGGTGTCTGTAGCAATTCCTTAAAGTAAGACAACATGAAGTTTGCTGCATCAATTGACTTCGATTCACGAATGATCTTTCTAGAGCATGTGATGCTGTTTGGTAACATGTTACCCACAGTAGAACATCTTTCAAATTTGGAATCAATCCTTTTGAACCCTGTGCTGCTTTGCCAACTAAGTTTACGTAATAACATTTTAAATCCTTCATTGACATTTCAACAATCTTCACAGTATCTTCAGCAGGAGTAAGTTCCAGCCCAAGAAGCCATTTTCTTTGCTTATACAGAAAAGCAACTCCTTATCCACTGAAGTTTTATCATGAGATTGAAGCAATTTGTCAATTTTCAGGCTCCCTTATAATTTGTGTTCTGTCTCTACCACATCTGCAGTGACTTTTCTGATTGAAGTCTTGAACTTCTCAAAGTCATCCATGAGGGTCTGAATCAACTTCTTCCAAATTCCTGGGAATGTTGATATTTTAACCCCTTCCCAGGAATCATAAATTCTTAATGGCATCTAGAGTGGCGAATCCTTTCCAGAAGATTTGCAATTTACTTTGCCTGGATCTATCGCAGGAATCACTATCTATGGCAGTTACAGCTTTGAAATGTATTTATTTAGTAATAAGACATGAAAGTCAAAATTACTCCTTGATTCTTGGGCTGCAGAATGGATGTTGTGTTAGCAGGCAATAACACCAATCTCATTGCACATCTTCATCAGAGCTCTTAGGTGACCAAGTGCTTTCTCAATGAGCAGTAATATCTTGAATCTTTTCTGAGCAGTGTGTCTCAACTGAGGGCTTAAAATATTCAGTAAAGCATGTTGTAAACAGATGTGCTGTCATCTGTGCTTTGTTGTTTCATTTATGGGGCACAGGTAGAGTAGATTTAGCATGATTCTTACAGGCCATAGGCTTTTCAAAATAGTCAATGAGCACTGGCTTCAGCTTAGTCAACATTAGTGCCCAGTGAGAGAGTCAACCTGTCCTTTGAAAATTTGAAGGCAGGCATTGACTTCTCTCTTGCTATGAAAGTCCAAATGGCATCCTTTCTAATAGCAGACTATTTCATCAATGGTGAAAATCTGTTGTTTAGTGTAGCCACCTTCACAGATGATCTCAGCTAGATCTTCTGGGCAACTTGCCGTTTCATCTTGCACTCTTACATTAGGGAAATGGCTTCAGTCCTTAAGTGAGCCAACCTCTGCTAGTGTCAACCTTTTCTTCTACAGCTTCCTCACCCCTGTCAGCCTTCCTAGAATTGAAGAGAGTTGGGCCTTGCTCTTAAGGGAATGCTATAGGTGATTTGATTAAACCAGACCACTGATACTTTCTCCGTATCAGCAATAAGGCTGTTTTGCTTTCTTATCATTCATGTGTTCAGTGGAATAGCTCTTTAACTTCAAGAACTTTTCCTTTGCATTCACAGCCTGGCTGTTTGACAAATGAGACCTGTCTTGGCTTTTGACATGTCTTCCCCACTAAGCTTATTCATTTCTATCTTCTGATTTAAAGTAAGAGACACATGCCTTCCCTTTTCACTTTGAACACTCAGAGGGTTATTAATTAGCCAGATTTCAATATTGTGTCTCAGGGAATAGGTTTGAGGATAGAGAGAAAGAGAAAGGGGAATGACCAGTTGGTGAAGCAGCCAGAACACGCACATTTATTAAGTTTGCCATTTTAAATTGTACTTTGTGGTGCCCCAAAACAATTACCATAGTAACCTCAATGATCACCAATCATGTGTCACCATAACAAATATAGTAATAACGAAAAAATTTGAAATACTGCAAGAATTCCTGAAACAGGACACAGAGATGTGAAGTGAACAAGTGCTAATGGGACAGTGGTACAGATGTGCTCAATGCAGCATTGCCACAAACCTTCAATTTAGAAAATATGCAATATCTGCAAAGTGCAAGAAAGTGAAATATGCCTATAGTTCTCAGGTGCCTTGCTAAAAAGTACCCTGTATGCCTTTTTTTTTTTTTTT